CCAACATTAAAGGAAATGGAGAGAAACTTAAATCAATCCCACAGATATCAGAAATAAGACAATGCTGCTAACTACCATCATATCTCTTCAATATAGTACTTGAATTCCTAGCTATAGCAATAAGATGATTAAAGGAGATCAAGGGAGCTCAAATCAGAAATGAAGAAATGAAAGTATCACTAGTAGCATAAAATATCATAGTATATATAAGTGACCCAAAAGATTCTACAGGGAACTCCTACAGATGATAAACAGCTTCAGAAATGTGGCTGGACACAAAATTGACTCAAAACAATCAGTAGCTTTCCTGTACACACACACACACACACACACACACACACACACACACACAAATGAGCTGAGAAAAAAATTAGGGAAACCATACTCTTCACAATAGACACAAAATACATTAAAGTACCTTGGTGTAATTCTAACTAAGAATGTAAAAGATTTGTAAAAGAAAAAAAAAACTTCAAGTCTCTGAAAAGAAATTGAAGATACAAGAAGATGAAAAGATACCACAAGCTCATGGCTTGGTAGGATTAACATAGAAAAAATGATCATCTTAAAAAATCAATCTACAAATGCAATGCAATTCCAACACAATTTACCAACACAATTCATTACAGATCTTGAAAGGAAAATTCTGAACTTATATGGAAAAACAAAAAAAATCCAGACTAGCTAAACAATCCTCTACAATAAAAAATCTTCTGGAGGTATCTCCATATTTAATCTCAAGCTATACTACAGAGCAACAGAAATAAAAATTGCATCATTATGGCACAGAAACAGACTGGTGGGTCAATGAAATCAAATCAAAGTCCGAGGAATATATCCAAACCCAACACCTATGGACACCTGATTTTTGACAAGATGCCAGAACCATACAATGGAAAAAAAAATGATAGCATCTTCAAGAAATGGTGCTGATATAACTGGATGTCTACATGTAGAAAAATGCAAATAGACCCATATCTATCACGCTGAACAAAAGTAAAGGGTGAATGGATCAAAGACCTCAACATAAAATTAGACACACTAAATGTGTTGGAAGAAAAATAGGGGAAGAGCCTCAAACTCATTGACACTGGAAACAACTTCCTGAACAGAACACTGGAATCCCAGGCTTTAAGATCAACAATTAATAAAAAGGACCTAATGGACCTGAAAAGCTTTTTTGAAGAAAAGGACACTGTCAATAGAAAAAACAAAACAAAACATCAGTCTACAGCCTGGAGCAAGATCATTACCAATTCTTCATTTGACAAAGGCCTAATAACATATATATAAAGATCTCAAGAAATGAGACACCAACAAACCAATTAGAAAATGAGGTACAGAGCTAAGTAGAGAATTCTCAACAGTGGAATATCAAATGGCAGAGAAATACTTAAAGAAACCACGGGGGGGATACAAAGTGAGTAAAGTATAATTAATAAAGAAAAATAAAATAAAAATAAATAAATTTCAAATTTCCCAAGTTGTCAGGTCTATGCAAATCAAAATGTCTCTGAGATTCCATCTAACCACAAATCGGAATGGCTAAGATAAAAAACACAAGTGACAAAACTTGCCGGAGAGGAGAAAGGAAAGCACTCCTCCATTCCTGGTAGGAGTGCAAACATGTACAGCCACTTTGGAAATCAATGTGGCACTCAGAAATTTGAGAATAGTGCTACCTCAAGATCCTGCTATACGACTCCTGGGCAGAAACCGAAAAGATTCCCCACCATACAAGAACATTTGCAGCTTTACTTGTAATAGCCAGAATCTGGAAACAAGCTAGATGTCCCTCAATGGAGTAATAGACACAGAAATTGTGGCACATTTACACAATGGAATACTACTCAGCTATTAAAAACAAGGAAACCATGAAATTTGCAGGCAAATGGGAGAAAATCACCCTGAGTGAGGTAACCCAGAAGCTGAAAAAAAGCATGGTATACACTCACTTATAAGTGGATACTAGCTAATATTATAGGATAGCCGTACTAAAATCAACAGATCTCAAGAAGGCAAACAACAAGGATTACCCTAGGGAAGATGCTTAAATTTCACACAGAATGGCAAACAGGATAAATAGTGAAAGTGGTGGGAGGGAGGGAAGAGGATAGGGGTCCTCTAAAAGGCTCTACCCAAAAGGGAATTGAAGCAGATGCCTGAAATCACAGCCAAATTTTGGTCAGAGAGCAGGGGGTCTTATGAAAGAAGTAGGGAGAGAGAACCACACAGAAGGGACAGGAACCCCACAAGGAGATCAACAAAGCAAAGAACCTGAGCCCAGGATGTCCTGCAGAGACTAATGCACTCACCAAGTACTGTACATGGGGAGGACAAAGACCACCTGCTAAGATGTAGGTGATTGGTAGCTCAATGTCCATGTGGGATTCTTGAGTAAGGGAGCAAGAGCTGCCTCTGACATGAGTTTTATTGCCTGCTTTTTGATCACTTGCCCCTGGAGATACAGCCTTTTAAGCCACCAACAAAGTGGATCCAGGCAGTCATGATCAGACTTGATAAATATGGGAAGATGGCGGAGGAGCAGAACTCCACCTCTCAGTAGACAAAAAGAAAGGCATATGGGGGAAGGCAGAGGTAGAGTGGGACTGGGAGGACTTGAGAGAGGGGGCTTCAATTGGGATACATAATGAATAAGTGGAAATAAATATATACATACATACATACATACATAGAAAAAAAGAGCAAGCACAAAGAAAAAGAAGAAAAGCAATATACAAGAGAATCATAATACAATACACACACCTAAAGAAGATAAATAACAAGGAGCACCCTAGGGAGGATGCTTAAATCTCATCCAGAAAGGCAAATATAATAGACACTGGAAATGGTTGAAGAGAAGAAACAGGATGGGAGCCTCTCATAAATATCCTCTGAAAGACTCCACCCAGCATAGGATTGAAGCATATGCTAAGACTCACATCCACTTTGGTCAGAGGACAGGAAGTCATAGGAAAGAGTGGAGGAAGTGAAGGAACCAGAATGAAAAAGAGCTCTGTAAGAAGACCAACAAAATGCACGAATCTGAGTCCAAGGAGGCCTGCAGAGACTGAAGCACCAACCAAGGACCATGTATGAAAAGGAAATAGACTACCTGCTCAGAAGTAGCCTATGGGCACCTCTGTCTCCATATGGGGTCCCTAGTAAGGGGAGCAGAAACTCTCTCTGACATAGACTCTGTAGCCAGCTCTTTGATCACTTCCCCTAGTTAGGGGTCATTGCCAGACCAAAGAGAAAAAGATGATGGTAGTCTTAATAGGACTTCATAGGTTGAGGTCAAATGGTAGGGGTGGAGGTCTCTCCCTTTCTCAGAAATAGAGGAAGAGAATAGGGGAAAAAAGCAAGGGAGGGTGGAACCGAGAGGTGACAAGGGAGGGTTTTATAACTGGAATGAAAAGTGAATAATTATAAAAAATAAATTTAAATTTTGAAAATGAGTTAAGACTTACCATCAGAATACAAAACAATCAAGAGAGAATTTCAGGTCTTGAAGACAAGGTAGATAAAGTAACTTTCTCAAAGAAACCACTATGTCTAAAACAATATCCCGACACAAAACATGGTACACTGTCAAAAGACCAACCCTATGAAAAGTATGGATAGAGGAAAGAAAGCAATCAAGCTAAAAGCATGGATAGATAATACTTTCAACAAAATCATAGAAGAGTATTTCTCTACTCTAAACAATGAGAAACCTGCCAAACAATATACAAGACCCATACAGAATACCAAATAGACTGAAACAGAAAAAAAAATTTCCCACAACACATAGCAATCAAAACTCTCAACGTCCTGTTGCTCTCTTTGTGCAGCTCCTATACTCTCCAGGTCTTTCTTCTTTCTTGCATAAGATTCCCTGCACTCTGCCCAAAGTTTGGCTTTAAGTCTCAGCATCTGCTTTGATACCCTGCAGTGTAGAACCTTGCAGAGGCCCTCTGTGGTAGTCTCCTGTCCTGTTACCTATTTTCTCCTTCTTCTGAGTTCCATCCTCTTTGCTTTTCAGAATTGGGATTAAGCATCTTAGCCAGAGTCCTCCTTCATGATTGGTTCTATAGGTGTACAGGGGTCTTCTCTGAGACTGATATTCCAACCAAGGACCATTCATGGAGATAACCTAGAACCCCTGCACAGACATATCCCATGACAGTTCAGTGTCCAAGCAATGGGAACAAGGACTGTCTCTGACAAGAACTGATTGGCCTACTCTTTGATTACCTCCCCCTGAGGAGGGAGCAACCTTACCAGGCCACAAAGAAAGACAATGCAGCCACTCCTGATGAGACCTGATAAACTAGGATCAGAAGGAAGGGGAAGAACACCTCCCCTATCAGTAGACTGTGGGAGGGGCATGGATGGAGAAGGTGGAGGGAGGGTGAGATTGGGAGGGGAGTTAGAAGGGAGCTAAAGGGGGGGGCACAAAATGAATTAACTGTACTTAATAAAAAAAAGATAAAACACTCAACATACTGGGGGAGGGTTATTAAAGGTTTGAAAAAGAAAAGACAAAATCACATATAGAGCAAGACCATTAAAATAACACCTGATTTCTCAGTGAAGCCCATAAAACAAAGGTCTTGTAATGATATTCTACAAACTTTGAGGGACCATAGGTTCCAGCCAAAACTACTATACTCAACAAATCTATCAATAACAATAAACAGAGGAAGAAAAACATTCCACAGTGACATGACTCTGCAGTTGTAAGGGTCAGAAATGGTCATATGTCAAGTGGAAGAAGCACAGAATTAAGAAGATAAAAGTAAAAGTTGGGACAAGGAAAGCTTGCATAAGTTGATGACTATGACAAGAAAGTTTATTAAGAAGTGTAGCATCTTCTATATTATTGAATGGAGGTGTTGGATCCATGTGAGAAGAGAGCTAAATCAGACACTGTTAACAAAGAAAACACAGGATGCCTCACTCACAACTGCCCTTCAGAGAACAAAGCCCAGTTCCCAAGGGCTGAAACCTTAACTGCTTCAAGGCTCAGGCCCAATGTTCAGACTGGACCTTGTCAAGAATACCTTGGACAAAAACACAGAAAAAAAAATTCTCTTTGTCCTTTCTTGGGGACCTCAGAGAGAGCATTGGGTCTATCTGTCTCCCAACATGCTCCATGTTTTACTTTTTAAATTTTTAATACCAGATGTATGTACATGTATTTGAATAGCTAAGAGACTGCAAGATTCCATAAATCAGCAAATGTGTCCTAAATATTTTCAAAGATTAATTAGCACAAATATTGTAAGCATTATACTGAATGAACTCTGAAAGTTCTTAAAGGGATTTAATTCTTGCAGCTTGTATAATAAATCTTTGAACAACTCTGAAAGAATTGAATACAAAATGACCACTACCCAGGTCAAAAACCAATTGCTTGAGAGTTCTTAATCTAAACTAATAATCTCATGGCTCTGTATTCTTTGTAAATGATTTGAAATTCTATCAAATTTTTATACAGATTCATTATTGCTTAAAGGCTTAACAAGGAGATATCTAAACCCAGCATGACACTGTAACCTTCACTGATATTTCTTGCTTGTACTGTATTTTCTCAGTGCAACACCACAACATCCAAATCCCTTCAGTTAGCTTCCCACTTTTTATCAATAAGCACCTGAGCTGCAAACACTATGGAAGAATGGAGGCCACCACTTTATTAACTTTCTACTGAAGGATGGATCAATTAGTCATGCATAGCAGATCTCAGGCAGAAGGGGGAAGTGTACAGGGCCAGGTCTGTGTGTGGTGCAGGCAGCTGGTGAGACTCTCAAGGAGGTTTGTGTTGGAGGCTGAAGCACTGTGGGAGGAGTATTGTCATAGTGCTGACAGTAATAAACTGCCAGGTCTTCAGCTTGCACACTGCTGATGCTGAGAGTGAAATCTGTGCCAGATCCACTGCCTGTGAAGCAATCAGGGACCCCAGTGTGCCAAGTGGATACATAGTAGATTAGTGGTTTAGGAGGCTGCCCAGATTTCTGTTGGTACCAAGCTATATACTTATTCACACTCTGACTGGACTTGCAGCTTAGGATGATCCTGTCTCCTATAGATGTGGACATAAATTCAGGAGACTGGGTCATCACAATGTTCCCCTCAGCACCTGCAACCAGAAATACACAATGAGTATACACATATACACACAAAGAATTCTTGATACAATGTTGGGGACAAAAATGCCTTTTCTAGTGCAAGTGCCTGCATACTATTCGATACCTATACTAAATAGCTGTTCCCCTAAAAATGAACTATTTTGATGACATTCTAATACTCTTTAATATCTCACCAGACATGCAGAGGAGCAGTAATATGAAGACCTGAGTCTGAGACTCCATCTTGATTCCACTGCTTGTCTGAAGCATTTCAGTTCTCACTGCAAAGTTCTGGTTTATAAAATATGGGCAGCTGTGCTGGCTTGTACAGACCTATGCAAAGTAGTCATCAAATGAGAAAGTATTAAGCCTGTGTAATATTGTGTGAGAGTATCCAGGTTAAATCTACAGCCAAAAATATCATCAAAGCAAGTAAGCAAGCACTAGGGAAAAAAGTCAACATAGAAGCTCAAGGACTAAGAGTTCTCAAATCACAAATATTGAGATGCACTCATGACAGACTTCCATTTAAAATCAAATCCATTTATAGAAAGTGAATTTTACAGAAATAATTCTAGAAAAAACTTTAATCACAATCCTGAGGAAACAATAATCATCCTCATCAAGAACGGCAGAAAGAAACAAGGGAAAGCAGAAGAAGATGTGAGAGAAAGGAAAGAAGGAGTAGGGTGGAGAGAAGAAGAGGGAATTTTGGATTGGGGAGGAATGGGAAATGTAGAGAGAAGAGAAGGAATGGAGAAGATAAAGAAGGATAAACATTAAAACAGAAAGTTTTGGTGGTAGAGTGCCAGATCAGTGGGTAAGAGCATGTGTTTCTGTTGTAAAAAAGTACTGAGTGAGTTTTTGGGGACTCTAGTTTGGAGAGCAGATAGGGAGAATTCAGAGTGTTTTCTGATCCTGAGAAACAGGCAGAGGTGACTTACAACTTAGTAACAAAACTATTACATGTAGCCTCTCGTTTATGAATCCTGTATTTTAAAGATAATTAAAAAACATGAACACAATTGTAGTATTATTACAGAAGGGAAACTCAATGAGGAAAGGAAACTTGTGCTAAATGAAACATGGAACAAATAGAAAGAGAAGGATAAAGAGTGTCTCTTCTTTAGGATTACTATTATTATGATAAAACATCATGACAAAAAGCAACTTAAAAGAATGAGAAAATTTATTCTTCTTACACTTCCAGGTAACAGTCCATCACTGAGGGAAGTCAGGGCTGGGATTCAAACAGAGAAGGAACCCAGAGGCAGCAGCTGAGCAGAGGCCATGGAGGAGTGCTGCTTACTGGTTTTCTCCTCATGGCTTCCTCAGGCTGCTCTGTTGCAGAACCCAGGGTCACCACCAGGGTCAGTGGCTGGAATCACCTTCAGTGGACTGCGTTTCCCCCCATCAATTGCTAATTAAGAAAATTCCTTACAGTCTTGCCCAATGCCCAGTAGTACTAAGGCAATTTCTCAACTGAGGTTTGTCCTTTTCAGATGATTCTAGTTTATGTCGCTTTGACATAAAATATCATTAGTATTGGCCATAACTAGGATTGTATAGCATAATCTGGAAAGATTGTTTTCATAAAGTTCAACATTATGTGTAATAAGTATAGGCCAAGACAGTTAATTTTTCAACAAATACAAGATGACAAGGGAGGTGCTCTCTGAGGCTCTGCTGCTACCGATGTGTGTTCTGTTAATATGCAGAACACATGAAGACTGATGGATTTAGTCAGGTGAATATGCATCAGTTTCATGTTTGCTGATTCAGGGTTGGCCAAAAATTTAATGAATTCTCGCCTAGCTCAAGTGTACATTTACATAACATAATTCCTTGTGATTTCTGTGAGTACTTTCAGTTTTAATAAATAACTCAGACACACACAAATTTTATATACAGGTAATATTTATTCATAAGTAAATCAGAAGTTCAGTAAAGAAAAATAAGACCATTATTGAAATTTAAAGATTATCTATTTAAAGATATGAAGAGAAAAAAATTATAGTTGCTTCCAAACTACTGATTATGCCAGTGAACACAGGCATAAAAGCAATAATATTTTCTGTCAAATCACCTTTAAAATCATGCTATCAAGATAGGTAAAAGTGGCAGAAAATAATTATTTAAACTTGTCTCAAAGTAGTATTTCCCATAAAAGAATAAACTACCCACTTGCCCTTGAAAGCTCTCCTAGGCTTTCAAGTCTAGATAAGTAAGGAAAGGCTCACTGATCCTTGGACAGAGAGAAGAATGTTTCTTTTCTAAATGTGAGTGCCCTTGTATTTAGGGCATAGATGGCCAGGATTTTGATGTCCTTCTTGGGGATTTTTTCTTTCATGACAATAACCTATCCTTCTCCATATCTTTTGATTAATTTTAGTTGAAAGTCCATTTTATTAGATATTAACAAGGCAACTCCAAATTGCTTCATTGGTTCTGTTTTCTTGGAAAAGCTTTTTTCAGCCCTTTAGTCTGTGTCAGAAAAAATAAAGGAGGAAATGAAAGACTTCCTAGAATTCAATGAAAATGAAGGCACAACATACACAAACTTATGGGACACAATGGAAGCAGTGCTAAAAGGAAAGTTCATTGCACCAAGTGCCTTCAAGAAGAAATTTGAAATATCTCATACAAGCTAATTAAAGGATCACCTGAAAGCCCTAGCAAAAAAAAAAAAAAAAAAGCAGACATACCCAAGAGGAGTAGTAGACTGCTGGAAACCATCAAAATCAGGGCTGCAATAAAACAATTCAAGGAATCAGTTAAACCAAGAGCTAGTTCTTTGAGAAAACCAACAAGATAGACAAACCCTTAGCCAAAGTAACTAAAAGGCAAAAAAGACACCATTCAAATCAACAAAATCAGAAATGAAAAGGGGTTCATAACAACAGACACTGAGGACATCCAAACAATCATTAGGTCGTACTTCAAAAGCCTATATGCCACAAAATTGGAAAATCAAATAAAATAGACAATTTTCTTCAACTATTCCACTTGCCAAAGCTGAATCAATAACAGGTAAATCAAATAAACAGTCCTATATCCCCTGAAGAAATAGAAGCTATCATCACCAGTCTCCCATCCAAAAAAAGCACAGGGCCAGATGATTTCAGTGCAGAATTCTACCACATCTTCAAAGAAGAGCTAATATTAATACTCTTCAAACTATTCCACAAAACAGAATCAGAAGCAACATTCCTAAATTCATTCTATGAAGCCACATTCACTTTAATAACTAAACTTCACAAAGACCCAACAAAGAAAGAGACTTTCAGGCTAATCTCTCTTTATGAACAGTCATGCGAAAATGTTCAATAAAATACTCACTAACCAAATCCAAGAACAAATCAAAGATATCATCCACTATGACTAAATAAGCTTCATCCCAGGCATGCAGGAGTAGTTCAATATACAGAAAATCCATCAATGTAATCCACCACTTAAATAAATTGAAAGAAAAAGACCACATGATAATCTCCATAATGCTGAAAAAGCATTTGATAAAATCCAATGTTCATTTATGTTTAAAGTCCTGGAGAGATCAGGAATGCGAGGCACTTAGCTAAGCATAGTAAAGGCAATATACAGCAAGCCGATAGCCAACATCAAACTAAACAAAGAGAAACTTAAAACAATCCCACCAAAATCAGGGACAAGGCAAGGATGCCCTCTCTCTCCATACCTTTTTAACAAAATACCTGAAGTCCTTGCAAGAGCAATAAGACAAGTAAAGGAGATCCAGGGGATTCAGTTCAAAAAGTAAGAAGTAAAAGTATCACTATTTGCCCGATGATATGATAGAATACAGGAGTGACCCCAAAAATTCTACCGAGTAACTCCTACAGCTGAAAAAAAAAAAACCTTCAGCAAAGTGGCTGAATATAAAACCTACTAAAAACAAAAAGAAAAAAAGTAGCTCTCCTGTATAAAGAAGAATTATATAAAAAAATTCCACTCTCTGAAGAAAGAAAAATGAAAATATCAGAAGATGGAAAGATCTTCATGCTCATGGCCTGGCAGGATTAACATAGTGAAAAATGGCCATCTTACTTAAAGCAATCTACAGATTCAATGCAATTCCCATCAAATTACCAACACAATTCTATTCAAACCTGGGAAGAAACATTTTCAACTTCATACTGAATAACAAGAAATCCAGAATTGCTAAAACAATCCTCTACAATAGAAGGTCTTTTTGGAGGTATCTCCATCCCTGATCTCAAGCTGTACTATAGAGCAACAGTAGTAAAAACTACATGGTACTGGCATATAAACAGAATGGTGGATCAATGGAAAGAAATAGAAGACCCAGAAATAAACCCACACACTTATGGACACCTGATTTTTGACAAAGATGCCAAAATCATACAATGGAAAAAAGATAGCATCTTCAACAAACGGTGCTGAACTAACTGTATGTCTACATGTGGAAAAATGCAAATAGATCCATACTTATCACTGTACACAAAACTAAAATCCAAGTGGATCAAAGACCTCAATATAAAAACAGACACACAAAATCTGTTAGAAGATAAAGTGGGGAAGAGCCTTGAAATCAATGGCACAGGAAACAACTTCCTGAACAGAACACCAACAACACAGGCTCTAAGATCAACAATAAATAAATGGGACCTCATGAAACTGAAAAGCTTCTATAAAGCAAAGGACATTGTCAATCAGAACAAAATGACAGCCGACAGATTGGGAAAGGATCTTCACCAACCCTATATCTGACAGAGGGTGAATATCCAGACTATATAAAGAACTTAAGAAATTAAACAGCAGCATATCAAGTAAACCAATCAAAAAGAGTGTACAGCCCTAAACAGAGAATCCTCAATAGTGGAACATCAAATGGAAAAAAAAAAAAAAACTTAAAGAAATGTTCAACATCCTTACTCATCAGAGAAATGCAAATCAAAATGATCCTGAGTTTTCACCTTACACCCATCAAAATGGCTAAGATCAAAAACTCAAATGATAACACATCCTGGAGAGCATTTGGAGAAAGAGGAACACTCCTCCATTACTGGTGGGTACATAAACTTTGGAAATCAATCTGTCACTTTCTTAAACAGTTAGGAACAGTGTTACCTCAAGAACCAGCTATACCACTCCTAGGCATATATCTGATGCTCAAGAATCTAACAAGGACATTTGTACAAACATGTTTGTAGCAGCTTTATTTATAATAGCCAGAAGCTGGAAATAAACTAGATGTCCCTCAGTTGAGGAAAGGATAGAGAAATTGTGGAACA